TTTTTTTTTTTTTTTTTTTTTTAATCTGCACAAGGATCATGAAATTGAACTTCCTATCGCTCCGATCGTGGCTAGCGGGCAGATTGGCCCTTGGTTGTCTTTTAAGAGTTGTTTAATCCGAGTAGCTTATTATATGAGCCAGGAAGAATCGTCACGCTACAATCTTTCATCGGTTTGTGGGGGGGGGGGGAAAAGAAGAAGAAAAAAGTCAGCAAAGGAAGCAAACGAATGCTTTTGAGCATCGTGAGCAGCTGTGCTTTTTTTGGGGGGGGGGGGCAAAATGAAGTTGCCGAAACTATCCCAGGAAGAGCATTGCTCAAGAGTGTCGTCCTTGGTAGATAACGTCACGAGTATTTCGTAAGTAAGCAACTTCGCTGCTGTTTTCCTTGTGCAGCATCTGTGATCCTGGGAATCTTCCAAGAGGAGCCCCCCCCTCCCGTTGCATTCCCACTGTCCGATTTTTATACCCGAGAACCCTCAAGGGCAAGCTTGTTTTTATCGAGTGCGGTGTTTAAAGGGTCTCCAAAAGCACAGAAGCAGCCACTACCTAGGTCGGAGTGTCCAACCTTGGCCATGTTTAAGACCTGTGGACTTCAACTCCTAGAACTGGGGAATTAAAAATGGCCAAGGTTGGACACCCCCGGCCTGGATCCGTAAAAACAAATCCTGAAAAATTGCAGCTTTAGTTTCTATTCCCGAAGTCAGGTGAGCATTCATGCCTTAGGGGGTCCTGCGAACCTTTTTAACGAAACTTCCCATTTCTCTTTAATCGTCGGGCGGGGAGCATTTTCGAGCCAGCGTAGACGAGGTTAAGGAAAGCTCTCGACTTCCTATTTTTTCCCCAACTCTGTTGAAACGTTTCCGAATTTGTTAACGATGAAATCCTTCCCGCGCACGCGGCTCTTTCCCGCTCTGCCTTTTAACTTCCTTGCGAAAGTCCGTTTCTTCTTTTATCCAACTGTGTTCCTAAACCGCAAGGGCATTGCCGGATCAATCTTTTGCACTTCCTAGCCAAGTCTTAATATTTATATAGAGAGTATCTGGGCCACACAGAATGCCTCAAAGGACGGAAGGTGTGGTTCCCCTGCAGCCGTTCTGTCCCAAACGACGCTTGTTCTGTGCCGTACGGCCGTCACATTTTTTTTGGCTCGCCTTTCATCCGCGTCCGCTAATGTTGTATCCATGAATTTGATTCTGTCTCTTTTTTGAGCTTTTGGTTCAACGAAACAACGCCCTTTGCTACTTTTTGAGATCTCTTTTTCAGTGCTGTTCAAAAGGACTTTTTTTCTCCTCCTGTCATTTTCAACTTGCTGTGCTGTGGCTTCTAAAAGTCCCGGAGAGATTCACTAAAAACTCAGGCGATGTCTCTTGGGGACAAAAAATTAAAAAATTCCTCTTTGTTTCAGAGGTGAATTTTCAGGCGTCTGAATCCGTGAAAGTTTAAGCCATACTTTTTGATGAAGTGATGCAATTAGCACGTGGGGGGATTTTAAAAACAAAAAATAAAAATGCCATGCTGGATTGTTTTTGCAAACTTTTCTCCCAACTTTTAGAAGCAGCCTTTCCTGTGCTAAGCAAGGGATGATACGTACTGGGGCAACAGAAGCCACTGAATATGCATAAACCTGATGTAATCACTGTGTCTCAGAAATTCTCGCCATAAAAGCCGTCAAGTGGAATGGAGAAAATAAAAAATCCCGACTCAATAATTCTATTCAACAACAACACTTTTATTTCTCATTATGCGAACATGACATAATTGCTTAAAGATGGCTGGCTTGTGTTCTCCATTTGGGTGTGTCCGGTTTCCCCATTTCTTCCTTGCTTCGTGTGAAGCAAATCCCGATTCCGGGGCAGGGAATTGGGCAAATTGTCGTACACGCCCCTCGCCCACCTGGAGGAAGCAAGTTACAATTTGTCCAGGAAGTTGTCTAGGGGTGGGATGCCTTCCTTCAAGCCTTTGCGTTTACGTGTTTCGGCCACAACTTGGAAAGGGCGTGAATTGCCGTCGTAGGGATCTCCGGGTAAGATCTGCCAGTGATCAAAGACGCACTGCGGGAAAGCCTGGCCCCCCGTGTTGGATCTCAGGTCGGCCGTGAAACCTGCGAGGAAGGAGGGGGGGGGAGAGAAGATGACCCTTGTATGACCGCAGCCCATATTGCAGGAAGACTGCCGTGGCCTAAGGCAGGACTTTTCAACCAGTGGTACGGGTACCACTTGTACATTGGCACCTGGCAGGTGGTACGTGACCATCCCAGAAAAGTGGTAGCGGGGGAGGGGAATGAGCTGAATCGGTGGCAGCACCGCACAAGCCTGAGCGAGAGACGGCTGGAGCTGCAGGGCTGTCAGGGCTCAGCGGAAGCGCCAGGATCAGTGCCGCTTTCCAGCTGATCTGCGCTTCTTCGGGGCTGTCAGGGCTCAGCGGAAGCGCCAGGATCAGCGCCAGGATCCAGCTGGAGATAAGCACTGATCCTGGGGCTTCTGCTGAGCCCTGAAGAAGCGCCGATCAGCTGGAATGTTGCAGCCTCTCCACGGTCTTGTGATTTACATTCAGATGCTTGGCAACCGATTCATATTTATGACGGTCAGTGTCCCAGGGTCATGGGAAGCGACCAGAATCTGCTGCAACCACCCAGAAGACGGGGGGGGGGGGAATAAAAACCAAACACCCACCCCCGCTGCCAATCCTCAACAGAAATGCTCACAACAATGAAAACCTTGGACAGGAGGAAGAGCGCGGCCGGGCGGGCAGGCAGGTGTCTTGCTCGGCTGTGGCTTGGGGGGCACTTTTTTCAGTGCCATTGTAAGCTCGAACAGTCACTAAGCAAACTTGTAAGTCGAGGACTACCTGTATTTTTATCACTTTTTTCTTTTTATTTTTTTTTTTGGTCATCAGGTTTTTGACACCTTGCTAGGCGACTGGTGGTTCTCGGATGTTGCCATATCCTAAAAGTGGTACAATGGGTGAAAAGGTTGAAAAACCCTGGCCTAAGGGTGCTTCACAAGTTGGCCTTACGATCACGAGTGAGCCCAAACGTTGTTGCTGAGCGGTGAAGTTTGCCCCATTTTACAACCTTTCCACAGTTAAAATCATTGCAGTGGTTAAGTTACTTACACCAGGGGTCTCCAACCTATGGGCCGCAGCTCGCTTCCGGGCTGTGGGCTCTTGGCCAGCAGGCTGCGGAAATGGCTGGGTGTTGTGCGCACGTGTGGATGCACATTCCTCCCCCTTGTGCACACAGCCCTGTGGGTGGGTGCGACTATATGCGCACCCGTGCCGCATGCACGAACAGGACTGCTAGTGTCCTCAGGGTCTCTTGAGTGGTGCACATGGATGTGGAGCCTTGGAACTGCTGAAAGGACAGTGTTATAGGCGGGAGATAGATAGTGCCCTATCCTCCCTCTGTTGAGAGGGCTGTCCTTCTTTTGCACCACTCAGGTGACCCTGAGGACACAGATTAAACCTCCAGGTGGCCTCAACGACCCTCTACAACAGTGATGGCGAACCTTTTAGAGACCGAGTGCCCAAAAACTGCCTCGCCCCCACCCACTCGCCCGCCGCAGATTGCCCAGGCGGCCCAGCAGCGCCATGGTCACCACGCCCTCCACCCGTGCCCTGCAGCATCATCTGTTTGCGACGGGGCACAAGGGTGGAGTGTTGTCCCCACTGCCCAGCTGCTATGTCCTTGGCTGCGCTGCTCCAGGGGGGCCATGCTTGGGAGTGACTCTTCCAAGGGGGCTGCTGGTGTGGAGGGGCCCGTGGGGGGAGGCGGAGCTGGGCTGATGGCACATGTGCCCACAGAGAGGCCTCTGAGTGCCGCCTTTGGCACTCGTGCCATAGGTTTGCCACCACTGCTCTAAAAGAAGGCAAATGACCAGCTGTCCGCAAGGAGTACAAATCCTTCCATTCCCCACCATCCAGTCAGAGCTGAAGAAGCTTCTTGGATGAGAAGCGAAACGTCTTCAAAGAAAAACAAAGAAAGTCCAGTTGCCCCCTTAAAAAAGCACCTTTGGGACAATCATGACCTGGAGGATGGAGAATCTCCCTAGACGTCCCCCTGGTCATGTTATCACATTTTGGGTACTCAGCAACTAGCCTCCATTTTTGGCTATTTGCAAGATCTTACAGTCGCAGGACCATAATTGATCATGTGCTGTCAGAAACTGGCATTTATTCCAGTTTCTGTCAAAAACGTCCACTGCAGGTAACTGACTCGCTTAATGATCAGGGCGATTCACTTAATAACTGCTGTAAAAAAAGAGGTAAATTCAGTTGAGGTCACGTGGACCTGCTTAACATCCGGCACAACTTGCCACCGTAATCCTCGGTTCAATTATAGCAATAGCACTTGAGACTTATATACCGTTCCACAGGGCTTCGCAGCGGTTTCTGAACGTTTTACGGTCCGTAAGGTCTTCAGGAACTGGCTGCGCGGACTTCACAGGAAGGTTCTGGGCAAGCTGGGTAATAGGTTGCAGAGAGTTCTCTTACCAAAAGATTCGTTCACCGGGAGATACGCTTTGACCACAAACATTGGAGTCCCGGCTACCTGAGACTCCTCAAAAACGTGGCCCCGTTTCCGGTTCAGCACACCGTAGATGCCCCCAACTACTTGTTCCGGGCACTAGGAGGAGGGAAAAAAAAAGACAAATTTTTAAGGAAGACCGGTTCCTAACCTCTCGCAATTCTTAATAATACGGAGGATTATAATTTGTGCAATAAGAGTGACTCTTGGACTACAGTGTTCGTCTACGCTACTGCAATTCCTAAAACAAGTTTTTATAAAATATTAGTGATATGCTCCCTCCTATACTTAGTGGAATAAGCTAGATTTCTGCACACGTTTTGGAAGACAAAGCCTTTGATCACTAATATTTTATAAATTTTACAAATTGCAGTAGCGTAGACAAACACTGTAGTCCAAGAGTTTCTCTTAAAATGGTGGGGTGAAATAGACCTGCACGTTCTACTACCTTCCCACTCAAACCAGTCAGAATCTTTTAGCGTGCTAAAAAGCTTCTTTTAAACCACTGGGGGTACCTTGGTGATGGGCTAGAAATATCCGATTAGTGGAAATTCTCACACTTTATCAGAAACCAAGCTACCATTAGAACAGGACCCATAATCCTTTCTTAAGTGCATCATTCAGCCCCTGAATTTTATCAGGCAACTGAGAAATCACGGTGTTCTTTTAAGTTTGTGTCACACATAGTAGCGCCTGGTGGCAAAGTCAGGAAATATTCGGGGGGGGGATTTAGAACACAACTTACATAGTAGCTGTTTTATTGCATATTTTCCATAGGGTTTTACTACGCTGCTTTTCCACCCTCCCTAAAAACAGCTTATCTTGAACTACACTGTAGAGCAGGGGGACGCTAACCTTTCTGGGTTGACAGCCCAGTGGGAAAGGGAGGGACAGGCACCTTTATGCATACGTGCATGCGCACACACGTAAATGTGGCTGCATGTGAACGGGGCCGCGAGCATGCGTGCTCTGCGAATGGGGCTGCTAGTACCAGCACACAGCACACAACTTCAGCTAGCACAAGCGCATGGCTCACAGCTTGCCTAGCACCGACGAAAGGCTCGTGGCTCGGCTAGCGCCGGTGACAAATTCATGGATCGCAGCTCAGCTAGAGGCTCGCGGCTCGGCTAGTGCTGGTGTGTGGCTTGTAGCTTGGCTAGCGCCAGCTCACAACTCTGCACCGGCAAGAGGCTCATGGATCGTGGCTCAGCTAGCGCCAGCGAGAAACTCACAACTTGGCTAGCACCAGCGAGATACTCACAGCTTGCCTAGCACTGGTGTGCGGCTTGTAGCCTGGCTAGCGCCAGCTCACAGCTTACATAGCGCCAGCGAGAGGCTCACGGATCACGGCTCAGCTAGCGCCAACGAGCTCACAGCTCAGCTAGCACCGGTGTGCGGCTTATAGCTTGGCTAGCACCAGCTTGCAGCTCAGCTAGCGCCGGTGAGAGGCTCACGGATCGTGGCTGGGCTAGCGTCGGCGCAAGGACACAGGGTGCTCGCATGCACTGGCCACTCACATGGCCCAGTGGCCAAGAGGCCGCGGCCCGGTATTGGGCCACAGCCCATAGAGTGGGGACCTCTGTTGTAGAGGACCCAGATCAAGGACCTCAGGAAATTCGACAACGAACTGAACACAACAGGAGCAAAAATAGCCGTTGCAAAGAAGTGTGCCACATCCCAGGTTGCTTGAGGTACACGTGGCTGAGTTTGGAATTGAGGAGAGCCAGCTGATCCTGTATCTCATCTCAGCCCGACCGTAACTACGTCAAACGTGTCGCAGGAACGTGGGAATACCGGCCTTTGCTGGCTCTTCTGAACGCCAAAGGGGGTCATCAACGCCTCGTCCCAAATTGACCCCTGGCTGTTACCTGAATCTCCACAAGGTAGATGGGTTCCATCAGACGCGGCTGGGCAGTCAAGGCGGAAGCATACAAGACCCTCCTGGCCGTCGGGATGATCTGTCCTCCCCCGCGATGGATCGCGTCGGCATGGAGAGTCACGTCTTGAATGTCAAAACGAACCCCTCTCATGTTCTCTTCACACAAAACGCCCTGCGGAGGAGAGAAAGACGACCACGTGCTACAGCTGCCTTTCCTCAGCGGAAAACCGATGTGGCAGTAGCTTTCACAAGGATTGTTGTCACCGCCTTGCAAACCACGGTTCCGACAGATAAACTCTTCAAAGAACTTCAAGGCATTGTTTACCTTAAAAAATCTTTATGCGAGTAGCATAGCTTCGGCACTAACATAGTTGAAGCCCAAAACTGGATTCCCCTCCCCTGAGCACATAGTATCAAAGCACAATTTCCTCCTCCAATTAACAGTCATAAATCACATTCTCCAATTAGTTTGAAATGCAGGCTTCCCCTCCAGTTCTCCAGCCCCGCCATTTCTTATCACCTCTCATTTCAAGCTCTGAATTCACACACTAGTACAATATGGTTATGTCTAACTCACTCCCACCACATTCCGCCTCCTCCCCCAAAAGCTGCATCTTCATAGGTTGTCAAAGCAAGAACATCCAATGGTAGCAGCGTTGACACTACCGCAACAATTAACAGCTAAATGCCACCGGCGCAGTAATCCAAGCAAAGCTTTCAAGTGAGACGTATAGGAAATTTGTCGTACTTCCATGACGATTTGTGGGAAATTAAGTGCCGTACATAGTGATGTTAATGATTCAAGATACAGGTCGTCCTGTATCTTGAGCCCAAAATTTCCACTGCCAGGTGAGGCAGTGGTTAAGTGAGGTTTGCCCCGCTTTACGACCTTTCTGGCCACGGCTCTTAAGCAGATCACTGCAGCCGTTAAGGCAGTTAATGCAGTCGTTAAGTGAATCTGCCTTCCCTTGTTGACTTTGTCATCAGAAAGTCGCAAAAGGGGATCATGTGACCCCGGGGACACACTGTGACCGTCATAAATATGAGCCAGTTGCCGAGCGCCTGAATTTTGATTACCTGACCAAGAGGGAGGCTGCAAAATGACTGTTATGCAGTGTGAAAAACGGTCACAAGTCCCTTTTTTCAGTGCCGTTGTAACTCTGAGAAGTCACTAAATCAGAGGTAGGCAACCCAAAACACTCAAAGAGCCACTTGGACCAGTTTCCCACCGAAAACAAAACACTGTCTCTCTGTCTCTCTCTCCCTCCCTCTCTCTCTTTCTGCCCTTGGTCTGCCAGTCCTCTTCCCCCACTCTCTTTCTTTCTCTCTTTCCTCTCTCTCTCCCTCCCTCTCTCTCCTCCCCCTCTCTCTTTCTCTCCTCCCCTCCCTCTCTCCGATCTTCTGCTCACCTGGCAAGCTGTCTTCAAGCTGTTCTCCAACAAGCTCAGAGGTAGGCAACCTCGGCTCTTTTATGACTCATGAACTTCAACTCCCAGAATTCCTGAGTCAGCATAGCTGGGCTAGCTAGCTCTCTCCTGTCCTTCCTGCTTCCTGCAGAGATGCAGCAAAGGGAGGAGCCCCGCCCAAAAAGCTTTTCAGCTTATTGGAGAACACTGTGAGTCTACTCTCTTTTACACACACACACACATACACGTACACAAACACAAAGAGAGACAGAGAGAGAAGCAGGGAAGCGCAAGTGCCTCGCTCTGTCTCTGTCTCTCTCTGCAAATGGCAGAGGAGGCTGGGAGCCACAGGTGAAGGCTCGAAGAGCCGCACGCGGCTCCAGAGCCGCAGGTTGCCGACCTGTGCATTAAATGAATGGTTAAGTCGAGGACTCCCCGTAGGGTCTTAGATATTAATCGGGCACCGGGCCTACCTCCTTCGTGGCCCACTGGAACCCAGCCACCACGCTGTCTTTGATTTCGTTGAGATATTGGACGCCCTTAGTGATATCGACCAGAATATTGGGCCCCATTCCGTCTGGTCCGAAGCACCAGATCTTCCGTGCTTCCGACACATCCCACTCGTACTTCTCGGCCAGATAGCGAGCTCGCTGCTTCAGCTCCTGGCGGGAACTGACGTCTCCTTTGTCTATGTCTTCCGCCAATCCATCAGGGAAAGGGCGGGCCTTCATGTAAAGGCGGTTGTGCTTGTTAGGAGATTTGGATAAGCAGAGCTGGTTGGATTCTTCGCAGACGGTCTCCCGATAGGACACTACGGGGTCGGATTTCTGCAAGTAAACAAATCCAGTTTGATTTATAAAGGAGAATAAATGCAGCTCAGGGTTGACGTGAGGGGTCCCGGGTGCTCTCTGAGCTGGGTGGTTTTCTTGCAGATGTTTCATGACCCAACTAGGGAACATCGTCAGTGCTAGAAGGGAGTGGGGTTGAGGAACAGGAGGAGGAGGAGGAGGAGGAGGAGGAGGAGGAGGAGGACTGGTGAAAGAGAACTATGGGGCCCTTAGTGCTCTTTGAGCTTGGTGTTTTCTTGCAAACATTTCATGATCCAAACTAGGGAACATCATCAGTGCTAGAAGGAGAGGGGTTGCAGAGAGGAGGAGGAGGAGG